TCATAGGTAATTATTCCAGAAATAGCAACGAGAAGAAATTTAATTCAATAATCTAATCATTCCTCGAATTTCCACTTACAGTCAATTACAAAGTGGAGCTGTATGATCCTCGTTCCAATGGTTTTATGCCCTCATCGCCTGGTATTGGCATGCATGTCGAGGTACGCGACAGCGATGACAAAATTATTTTATCTCGTGTCTACAGTTCAGAAGGCCGCATCTCTTTCACATCCCACACACCCGGTGAACATGTCATCTGCATGTACTCGAACAGTACATCGTGGTTCAGTGGTGCCCAGCTGCGTGTCCATTTGGACATTCAGGTTGGTGAACATGCCATCGATTATGCCAGCGTAGCACAAAAAGAAAAGCTAACCGAATTGCAGTTGCGTATCCGCCAGCTGTTGGATCAAGTCGACCAAATCACAAAGGAACAGAATTATCAACGTTATCGTGAAGAACGTTTCCGTCAGACAAGTGAAAGTACCAACTCGCGTGTGTTGTGGTGGTCTGTTGCCCAAACTGTTGTCCTTGTCTGTATGGGCTTCTGGCAAATGAGACATTTGAAGAGTTTCTTTGAGGCCAAGAAATTGGTGTAAAATTTCTTCTGTAGAGACAGATATGTTTGTAAGGTTATTTCATTTTTGTTTGGGGTTTCGATTAAATTATTTCTAAAGAGACAAACAAACAATACCACCACCCCCTTCCTTGTTCTCATTTGTAACGTCTTCTCAGTTGAATGAACCTTTGTTCAATTATGGATATCCAATCTCCAGGTACTAATGTTTCAATAACATTTTATTTTCTTCATTCCCTCATAAGCGTGTATCACGAAAACGATTTAATTTCATTAATGTATGTCATCAGTATAATAAATTTATGATTTATGAAATGAGAGAGAATACCATATTGCAAATATTTTAGTTTAAATAAATGATTTTTTAAAATATACACAAAAGTGATGTTGTTATTTTATTTTTGATGTAAGGGTTTATAGATTTTATTTAAAGATTTTTACCGAAATAATTTAATGGATCTTTGTAGTACTGTTAGTTAAAAAAATTATTCAATTTTACATTTAACCCAACGTGACGACGACCAAGGATAAAATATATACGATATTTAACACTGCGTTTACGCTTTTGATCGTAATTAGGTATATACATAGAATATATATAAAAATTCAATGCGAACAGAGCAGAATCCGTCATATGCATTGGGTTTACTTTGTGGCTATAACAACATATTACCAGTACAGACGTTATTTCCTTATTGCAGCACCAGTTACAATTTAGGTTCTCAACAGTCTCCCCCTCTTTTTAGTTTTTCGAACAATGGTAGGTCAATGTATGCATGTTTAAGACGATTTGCTTTGACCAGAGGCTACCACCATTTAATGAATAAATACAGGAAAACTCCTTTTCTTTATTGTTCATTGGGATGTCAACTGTAATCATGAAGGCATTACCGCATGTCATGTGACTTTGGATCAATGATGTTCATGTCCTTATCAGCAAACACAACAAGAAAACTTTACCAGACGGCACAAAAAGATGATTTATTTATTTACATGTATTTGATTATCTTTCCAGTCACATGTCAATGCAAGGCAAACAAGAAAAAGCCGGGTTCGAAAAAAAATATATTAAAAAAAGGAAAATATTTAATAACAATGATAGCTAGGAATACCTATGAATGTGATATATTTGTTGTGGGTAATTTTGAGAAAATATGGATATTCCAATAAATCGGTTTTAATATCATTTGGAATATACAATTCAGTTCGATTATAATTAATGGCTTTATAGAACTTCTAGTCGGCAGAATTCCCACATCGCGTACAGTGGCTGCACACATAAAAAAAGTGTACTTCACATTAAAAAACGTATCTTATAGCTATACAGTATATATCTTAACCCTTTCAGTGTCAAACAAATTCTTGTCGGAATAAAAATCTAAATTTTTTTACTTAAAATCGTATGAAGGCACAGAGTTTAGAAAAAAAACAATTCTTATTGTAACCCTCGAACAGTTTTGTCTGTCTTTCAGAAAAAACAAAGACATCAATTGTAACGGTACATAGGATAACCGAAAATTTGCAAAGGAAGAGAGTAATTTTAAATGTCGAATATATTCGACAAAAACACTGAAAGGGTTAATATAAATTATGAATTCTCTGTAACAAACTTTAAAGCATATTTAAATTCATTTTAAAACTAAACAGTTCATATACTAACATAATATATGGATTTTAATTAACAAACTACAAAGCAGAAAAGGCTCCCCAGCCAAGTAAAAATAAAGCAGTAAAGACTATTGTTGGTAATATCTAAGCAAAAGAACTGAATAAAGTCGCATCTACCAAACAAATTAAAAAATACATTATTCCAGCATGTAATTAACAGCAAAATCTTCAAACTTGCGTTGAAATACACTGCGCAAAAAAGAAAAATGTCGTAGTTCAACAGGAAGTTGATTCCACAAACGTGACGAACGAATAATAAAAGATCTTTCATATAAACAAGTGGTATAGCGCGGGAAAATTAACTGAGTGTTCCTGGTAGATCTAGAGAAAACAAGTCGATCACGCAGGACACCGGGAAGATCTAAAGTGAGAGATTTATATAGAAATAAAATAACTCTTTTCTTTACGAAAACTGAAAACGGCACACCTAGAAATTCAGCCGCATAAGCTGAAACATGATCTGATCGACGTAAATTATCAACGTACCTTACAACCATATTGAACAATTTTTCTATTTTGTTAAAATGCTCATGTGTGGTGCTAGATACAACTTCTATACCATAAGAAATAAGCGATATTAACATGGAATAAGCAAGATTTCTCTTTACAAATAGTGGCATATAGAATTCAGTTGAGTATAATTTTCGAAGAATATTCATTACTCTAGGGTGTAGAGCATCAATATGAGCAGAAAAATCAAGTTTGCTATTAACAATAACTCCTAAGCATTTTATGCGATCAACGTACTCAATAATTAATCCATTAACACGTATATCTATACTATTGAGGCGACATAAAGGACCATATCCCATTGCTTTTGTCTTTGTAACATTTATTACTAGGTTATTATTACATAACCAACGCGATACTGCGGACAAGGTATTGTTAATGTTAAACTCCAATAGGGAACTAGATTTGCCATTAATCAGCATTAATCAGCATATAAAAACGGTCGACATCCGCTATTATGTAAACAGTTACCAATGTCATTCACGTATAAAACAAAAAGAAGGGGACCTAAAATTGAACCTTGGGGTACACCACTGTATATATTAAGTTTATTAGAAGTCTTGCCATTTAATGAAACATACTGGGAACGCTGATGTAGTACTGAGCCCACGCCTGAAACCATATTGGTATACATTTATATATTTCCGCTCATCAATAAATTCTTGAATTTGCTCCAATATGAGGTGCTCGGCAACTTTTGAAAGTGCGGGTAAAATGCTTTTTGGTCTCATATTTTCTATAGTAGGTGTTTCTTTAACTTTGGGAATGGGGACTACTCTAACATGTTCTTAGAATTTTTCTGAGAGTCTTAGATTTAATGTTTTAGGAATATTTCTGAGAATCTTTTTAAAATATCCTTAAAAAAATCCACGCTCTGATTGTTTTTTTAAAACATCCTTTAAAAAACACATGCTCTGATAGTTGTTTAAAAATATTCTTTAAAAAATCCCCGCATTGATAGTTATTTTTTAAAAATATACTTTAAAAAATTCACCTTCTAATAGTTGATTTTAAAATATTCTTTTGAAAATCCTCGCTTAGTAGTTGTTTTTAAATTATTCTTTAAAAATCCATGTACACGCTCTAATAGTTGTTTGTAAAATATTTTATAACAATTCATGTTTATAGGTCCAATAGAGGTTGATAAAATATTTTTAAAATAATCCCTAAAATTATATTAAAAAAATCGTACATATGGATCCGTTAGGTCTTGAGTGGCATATTTTGAAAATTATAGTTATATAGTATATATATATATAGTTTTATAGTTATACATATTATATTTATATATATAGTATAGATAGTAGGATACAATCATACAACCACTGTCTACTTTTACAGATTTTTCGAAATCTTTCCCATTCAGACGAAGGTAAACACAAAAGAAAGATTATCTCATAATGGAAATATTTTTCGTATCACGTTTGTAATAAAAATAAGAATGAAATAAAGAAGATCTTGGAATATTTTCAGTTGATTACATTTTTACAGCAAATTATTTCAATAACGTACAAATGTCCCATCTGTCAAGGACATGCGTTCACATTTCCTGACACACAGATGCTCTTTGTGATGAGCAGTCGTATTATTTTGGAAACTATATTATTAGCGAATGTGAATCTCACTATAACCCAGATAATGCCAGAGATTTTTTTCTTCAAATTCTAATTTTAAAACTTAAATATTTTATTAAAAAATAACTATTATATCATGAAGCTAGGAGAGTATAGAACAAGATACAACTATAAAATAATTTTGGGAAATTCACGAAGATAATGCTGTTTTTCTAGCAGTCATATTTTGTGTGCTTTTAATATAATATATTTTAATACAATTTATTTTATTTATTTTCTTTTAATTTTCAAATCTTAAAATATTTTATATTACTCAATAACGAAAACAAATAACACTTTCGCTATATGCCTCAATATGACCGCCTAATAAACCCTGCTAAAATGACAAAATGTTTGACATTTGTGGTAAATTATTTACAACAAAATAACATTTCTTTATTCCAGAAATAAAATACTACAATCAATGACAATTTTCACCTATACATATTACAAACCCCTTACTTTTATCTACCTTTAAAAAAAACACAAAACATTTTATCTTAGAATTATTTTTTTTTTGTAATTGGATTACCTGGTCACAGTTGTGGTGCTCAAACATACAAACACATGTGCTTGCTAAAATGTATGTCTGAATGTATGTATATTTGCATAACATATTTTCTTTAACTTTGTTAAATAAATAAATTCTTACAGAGATGCAAGCTCAGACAATAGAGCTACATGCAAATACAAATTCGTATCAACAAAAATGAAAGTAATGCGAATATGAGACATAAAACGAGTAAAGACCACGAGCGAGATAACTTCAAATAACACAGATAACACACCGAACAGTAATCGTGGGAATAATGAGAGTAGCCAAGGGATCGTATAAACGTTTTTGTAAAAGCTATGAATTGAGAATGCATTTCTTATATGAGGGGTGTTGGGAAATTGTGGTAGGATTTCAAGTTGCCTCTATAGGCTTTTAATTGTATTTATGTAGGTAGTGTTCATTTTATCATTTTTGGGAAGAAGTTTTTTATTCACCAGGAATCGGGGATGCCAAATTATAGCCATTTCGAAATTTAAATTATATCCATTTGGGAGGTGTGGTGGATTATATCCAAGATTTTTACAAATAAGTTTTTCGTCTTCCAAGAGCCCTAAATATTGGGTGTTAAAAAAATTCTTTAACAATCTACGATCTTAAAAAATTACGTCTCTGGTGGGTTTTGAAAAAATATTCTTTAAAAAGCTACGAAACTGTTGGGCGTTAAAAAAATATTCTTTAAAAAATC